CCGCGCACACTTTTGGTGTAAAAAATGCAAGAGCTCGGATTGAGGGCGGGTGGTTTTCAAAATGTGGTTCTCGCCTTAGCGCCGCGCACATTTGTTTGACACGTTTGCAAGGGTTCCACGAATTGAGGGCGGGCCGTTTTCAATATGTGGCTCTCGCCTTAGCGCCGCGCACATTCGTTGAAACAGTTGAAAGAGATGCACGGGCTGAGAGCGGCTCCTTCTTTAAATGTGGCTCTCGCCTTAGTGCCGCGCAGATTCGTTTTTTTATGTTTTTTATTTTTGTGGCAAATGCAAGAGTTGCACGGGTTTCCATGATCAGCGTACCGAAAGTTGCGTTTTGGAAGGCTCAGGATTACGAGGGTGGAACAGCAACGTTGATTCGCAGTCTTAAGTTCCAGGACTGTCGTTCTGGCACGATTCAACATCGTCAAGACGCAACATTCAGGTTGATTCGTGGCGCTGGAATCCCGAGAACAATGTTTTGGCATACTTCAGGGTCTTCAAACGGTTGTCTTCCAACGAGGCAGTTCCCTCAGTGGAAGTGAACCGGTGCAGGGGCCTATGAGGGGTAGCTTGGAGGGCGGGTTGATTCCAACATCGTTGATGACTCTTTGATTTACACTGGTCGTCCTCCTCCTCCTCTTCCTCCTCCTCCTCCTCCTCCTGCTCCTGCTCCTCCTCGGACTGGCGGCGACGATCATGTTCCCGGAAGGCTCTCCAGGGGAACATGGCAATTTCGGCTATATTGGGGCCCTGTTGGAGGCCTCTGTACGGCCCTTTCGGGGCGTCGAGGCTCATTTTGGGGGGGCGTCTTGAGGCTCGTCGGCCCCTTCCGGAGCCTCTTTGGGGTGTGTCGAAGCTCCGTGGAGGGTGCCGTGGTAGGGCCTCTTTGCCGTCAGGCGCTCCTCCTGGGCCGTCCATTGCGCCCTCTTGGGGTGTGCTGGGGCACAATTTGGCAGGAGAGCCCAGAATCGAATCGACAAGTCGGATCGGCGATCGACATGGATCGGCTCGACGGGAATCGGCAGCCGAGTCGGAAAGCTCGAATCGGCAGACATCGGCAGGCCACTAGGCCTCCGTTGGGAAATCGCAGATCCCAAATCGGAATCCGAAGTCGAATCGAATCGGAATCGGAATCCATCGAAATCGAATCGAATCGGATCGGAGGTTTCGAAATGATCCCTGTCTTGGAAGCCTCTTGGGCCATCTTGTGGCGATCTGGGGAGTTTCGTGGACAGTCTTGGAGCGTCGGCAAGCGGAACTGGGGGCAACGGGAGAATCCTTGAACAACATTTGGAAAATCAGCTATTTGTAAGTCTCGGGTTTCGCTCGGAAGATATTTGGAATCCCTTCTGGGGCGTATAGGAGGCTGGGCAGGCCGTCTCGAAGCAAATGTCCACGTCTTCGGGGCCTATGGGAGCCCTCTTGGCCCCCTTTACAGCCGTTTTGGGGTGTCGAGCCTGAGTTGGGGGTCCGTCTGGGGGCCTCGTGGACTATCTTGGGCGCTTCTCGGGCCGTTGTGGCGCCCTCTGTGGATATGTTGTGGCACTCTCGGACGCCTTTTGGGCTGTTTCTGCACGATCTGGGAAGCTTCTTGAGCAGTTTCGGAGCGTCGGGAATCGGAACAGGCGTTAACGGGGAAATCCTTGAACAACCTGGGGGCAATCTAATATTTCTGACGCTTGGATCTCTGACGGACACTAATTATGTTGGAGCCCGTTTGGGGCGTCTTGGAGGTCGGGTGGGCCATGTCGAAGCAAGCGTCACCGTCTTCGGGGCGTCTTGGAGCCCCCTTTGCCCACTCTGGGGCCCATTCTGGGCGTCGAGGCTGAGTTTTGAGCCTGTCTTGGGTGCCTCTTGGGCCATCTTGGGTGCCTCTTGGGCCATCTTGGCGCCCTCTTGGAGCACGCTGCGACCCTCTCGGACGCCTCTTGGGCCGTCCCGGAGCCTCGGGGAGCGGAGCAGGCGACCACGGGAGTTGTTCAACAAAAGGCGTTCAGAACCTCCACAACCAGGAACGACGACGAGGACTCGACGATGAGTCCTCGACGACGGCTCGGACGACGACTCGACGACGAAATCGAAGACGACTCGACGGCAACTCGACGACGACTCGGACGACGACTCGACGACGAATCAACGACGACGACGACGACGACGAACGACGAACGACGACGACGACGACGACGACGACGACGACGACGACGACGAACGACGACGACGACGAACGACCACGACGACGACGACGACGACGACGAACGACGACGACGACGACGACCCCTGACGTCTCGACCCCTTCCCTGGAGGTCGAGACTTCACAATGCCCCCGGGATGCATCGCCGAAGGCTCCCATGGGGCCCCCGCAGAGGCAGCCCCACGAGGCCGAAGCGGGGAGACAGCACCAATCGACCCTTGATCGATCCTCGAACGGTCGACGACGACGACGACGACGACGACGACGACGAACGACGACGACTCGACCGCGACCCGCCCCAGGCACCTCGCATGTCCACGGCCTGTCCGCGCGGTCGTCCGGCTGCGGGCCTGGGACGCACTCCGGCCTGCAGGAGGCCCACCCGTTGCCCTTCGCGAAGCACCTGCGGCGACGACGGCGACGACGACGCGTCCTCGCGTCGGCAGGACCCGTCGCGATGTGAACTTCGAGATTTGGGATGTCTCATGTGTGTCTGCCAGGCCTCGAGGCGTGGAACCTCGGGAGGCCTTCGCTGGAGAGACACACACACACACACGTGAATACAAACTAAGACCGCGAGCACGCTTCGCGCGCTCAGGTTCCAGCAAGCTTCGGTTGCAATCGAAAGTGTTCGGCTTCGGAGGACATGTACAGAAGCACGCGCTCCTTTCAACACTCCTCCTGGACGTCTTGGAGGCTTGTTGGACAGTCTGAAGGCCGTACTACGTCTTGGGACCCTCTTGGGACATCCAGGGGGGCACTGTTGGCCTTATAACGCTCCTCGTGGTCCGTTATGACGTTTCCTCTGCGTTGTATCATCATTTTCGAGCGATCCATGGGCAACCCTTAGATCCCTGGTGGGCGCGCTCTGGCATTCAAAGCCCGAAGATGGCTTGAAGACGACCCAGAGGAGCCTCTTAACTCTCTGAGATGGTCTCGAAACGACCCAAGAGGCTTGACTGGAACCCCAAGGAGCCCCCAAGAAATCCCCAAGAGGCTCTGAAAATGCCCCCCGATAGAGACTCCGATAAAGGCCTCCCAGAAGCCGTCCCGCGCCCCCCGAATGGCTTTTACAACAGCTAGGGGAGAACGCAATCCACACGCTTGCCCAAACTCTCCCCAGCGGATAGACACGTATGCGTTTTCCAACCAGGCAGGGCACGGCGGTGACTCGCCGTAGGCGACTTCGATCCGTCGCCACCTCTTGCTTGCAACAGGGGCGCGCTGCCTGCGTTGTCTAACACGACTGGCCCTACCAACATGTGCCTTGTGGCTCTCGGCCCGTCCGCCGCCACCGCACACAGCACCCAACGTCAAGACAACTCGCCTCCAGGCCAGCCAACATGGCCCAAGATGATCCTCGAGACGGGCCCAGACGGTCCAAGACGGTCACAGGTGGCCTCCAAGATGGCACGAGGGTCCCAAGAAGCCTATAAGTGCGCCCCGTGGGACGGCTAAGCATGGCCTGGAGGGGGCCCGAAGCTTTCCAGAACAGCCTGAAGAAACACAAACCACGGATTGTTTTGACCGTCTGGACGGTGTCCGTGTTCTCGCCTCCTCGGATCTCCAACCGCCCAAGAAGGTCCAACAGCCCCAAGGCGGCCAAAGAGGCCCCCGATGGTCCCAAGACGGCCGAAGCCCCACAGAACGGCCCCCAAGAGGTTCAGAAGACCGCGCCATGGGGGCCCAGACACGACACTACAACGACCGAGTCATCCCTTTGACAGCTCCCGAGGCACACGGACCGCGGCCCACAGGGACCTCCACGGCCCGAAGTAGTGGGCCTGGCATGCCTCTGCACGCTATAGGAGGCGGCCAGTAGGGGACCTCGAGAGGATCCGAGGCGGTCCGAGTTGGGCCCTGGCAGGGCTCGACGAGAGGGCAGTGGAGCCATGGACAAACCAGGCTCGCGAGTATGATTCGGATTGAGGGCTTCTTGGAATCGTCCTGCAGCGTTCCCCGGCGTCTATGAGCGGACCTCTGAGAGCGTTCGGAGACGGCCTGGGGAAGTCCGACAGGCTCCAGGACTCCCCGAAGTGGGCCCCTGGAGAGCCCCCACAGGGCGCAGGGAAGAGGCGCAAGGAAGCCCCACGCATGTGTATCTGTTGAAGGCTTTCCTGGGACTGTGCCAGGGCTCTCCGTGAGGACGTGAGCCTCGAAGAACACTCAGGGATGGACTGGGGAAGAGCTTCAGGTTCGAAGACGCTTCCAGGTGAGCTCTGTGAACGCTCACGGCATGGCGAGTGAGAAAAGACCACGAGTGCCCCTGGGGCGCTCCTTGGCGCCCCACGTGGGCCGCTGGAAACTCTCGGAGATGGTCTGGGAAAGTTCGACAGGCTCAAGGACTGCTCAGGGGCCGCAGAAGGGCACGGGGAGGAACCACCAAGCAGCTTCACCAGTGCGGCTTGCCTGGAGGACATCTCGGAAACCCTGGGGCGGTCCGCGGAGCCCCGAGTGGGCTTCTGGGAACTCCAGGGCCAGAGCACTTGTGGAAGGCCATCAGGGGGCTCGTCGGAAGCTGTCGTGTGGATCCTTTTGTCCTGGCCACTCTGTCCTCCTCCTCCTCCTCCTCCTCCTCCTCCTCCTCCTCCTCCTCCTCCTCCTCCTCGATGGGGTGTGTGCAGGTGTCTGGCTTGCCGGAAGTATCCTAGAGCCCCCCGAGGCTTGAGGACCTCTGGGGCTGCCTTGACCGTCTCCTGAAGCGTCTGGAGCCTCTCTGGAGCCGTCTGAGATTCCTGGGGGCCGTCTTGGGGAGGGACTGGACGGCTGTCTGACCCCTTGCAGAAGCGACGTTGGGCCCCGATTTGAGGCGTGTTGGATAATCTAGGTGCCTCTGGGGCGCCCGGCGAGAAGGCCAAAATCCTTGGGGCTGTCTTCAGAATATCTCAGATCGGCGACGCGCCCAGGGGCAAGTCCTTCTCAGAAGGCTTTGAAGTCCCCCGGCCTTCTGAAAGGTTTTCTCAGCCTTCTCCGAAAACGCGGAAAACCTCCCAGAGGGCCAAAGGCCTTCTGAGAAGTTCCGCCGCCTTCAGAGAAGGCCTTCTCCTTCGCACTTATCCTCCTCGCTCGCCGCCGATTGAAAAGGCCTTGAGGCTCCCTTGGGCCCTCTGAGACCCCTGGAGGCCGCCTTCGGGTGCACTCGGGGCACTCTTGGCACGCCCTCGGGGGGAAGGGACGGGGTCCCAAATGGGCGCCCGCTCCCCGGCACACACACTCGTGCATGGTCCAGGTTTCTGGGGTGTGCCGACATGGACCCGAGCACGCATGCGGGCCCTGCCACTGGGGCCTTCGGTGGAACTCCCCCAGGGGCCACGAAACGTGCGGGTGAGGAAGAGGGAAGGAGGGAGGAGAGGAGGAGAGGACGGGAGGACAGGCTAGGTGCGCTGACGTCCTACCCCTCCCCACCGTCCCTTACCATGGCGTAGATATCCTCTCTATTCTCACAGTCGATATCGAGCAGGGTAATGATCGTGAGAGGGTACGCGATGCATGGCGGAGCACGCCATGGCATGGCGTAGAAGAGCACGGCGGAGCGTGGCATGTCATAGCATGGCGTGGCATTGCGCAGTGAAGCATTGCATCACAAAGCATTGCAACGCAAAGCATGGCATAGCATGGCATCGCAAAGCGGCGCAGAACACAACACCGCACATCATGTCATGGCATGGCGCCGGATTCCTTAGAGGGTAAGCGGATCATCTTCGAGAGGTCTGGGCCGGTCTGGAGTCGTGGCTCCATGTCTAGCTCCTTGGGCTCCTTCAAAAGCTCCACACAAGGAGGGGCTGATGGAGAGCACCCGCTGGCTCTGCTTTCAACGTCGCCTTTTCAAAACATGAACGGAGATCCCGCTTGACACATCCTGAAAGCGACGACGCCGGGTGGGGGCTTTTGCGGCTCCAAAGATCAATGAATCGACACCAGATGTGTAATCACTTCCGATGGTTTTCTGGGGGGGCATTCTCTACATTTTGGGGCCTATTTGGAAGGACCGCGAACGCCCGCGCTGCAGCGGGAACGCGATTTGGAACAACCAGAGGCGCAGATATGGGGCCAGCGCTTCAGCGGGAGCAACATTTTGAAAACAAATCCAAGCGAAAACCCATTTCCCAGGAATCCTGCGTGTTCAATACAATACGCGGAGGGGGGCCGGAAATCTTCCAGACGTCATCAGGGGAGAGAGGATAATAGTATTCAGATTGTGTAATTGTGGACGTGCGCGGCGCTGCGCATTCAAAACGAGGACCCAACTCACATGAGGATTAGAAAAAACAGGGAAGAAGCAGCTGCACATTAAAAGTTAGCTTTCGCGGAAGTCCGCTTATAGGTATACTTCTGAAGTCCGCGCGGATTCCGTGGGTCGGCGCTGGACCCTTCTCAAAGGCGCGCGGAGCGCGCCTGGGGCGGCGCCGGAAGCGCCGTCAGGCGTCAAGTGTGCCTCCAGCACCGATCCAAGAAGTCCGCGCGGACCTCCAACGATCTACGCTAACGTACGGCAGGCTCGTGTCGTGCCGACCCCAGCAGTGGTTGCTAACACCGCGGGGGTCCTTCAATCTTGAAACAAAAGAGGCCGTGTCTGGGGAGACCTAAAAAGGTACTGATACCACTACTCCCCGGACCTCTCCCATGGCGCGTTCTGACCAGGATTTCGAGGCGAATCCAGCGGTGGCGACGAGGGCCGCCCGGGAGGCCCAGAAATGGGAAAACGAGGGAAGGGTAGAGGTGTGGCTATCTTTAACTCCTCCGAGTTTCCAAATAGTCAAATCGTTCCACATCGACCGATTCTGGGTCGCCAGCGGCATTTGACTCTGAACATAGGGAGCTCCTAGATGGGGTCCGAGTAGATGTGGTCGGACGATCGCGCCGCATCGCCGATGCATCGCGACGTCGGCGTGGGGAAGCACGGGCTCCACATCGAGCCGCAGCGTCGATGTATCGGCGATGCGGCGCGATCCGCCGACTCCATCTACTCGGACCCCGTCTAAGAGGCCTAGAACACGGGGGGCGGGTTCGCCGCCAGTCGGAAAGTCGCGAGCCTGCTGTATGTGGAGGGGCAACGATCGCATCGGGGGGGGACTGGCATAGGGGGGATGCATCGACCTGGAATCGGCGAGACATCGCCGATAGATCGGCCATAGGCCCCCGACAGTGAATCCGAACTCTCCTGTGCAGGTTGGGGCTCTCGGGCCCTTCTCGGCGATCCATGGGCGATTCGGGGTCGATGCATCCCTCCCTAATTAATCTGGCCATCGCTCGGACGTCCATCTCATGTTTTTTTCAGTTTCGTGCATATTTTTCTTCACCAAATGGTCGAGAATACTCCTCGATTGTCCTCACCGAAGGAAAAATGCACACGTCCGAGCGATGCCCCCCTAATGCCTATCCCCCCAGATCGTTGCCCCTAATTGTGTGTTCGTCTTCGATTCGCCGCGCCCGGGGGGCCTGTGGCCCGGCTCGCTGCAGCACCTCGCGAGGGTGCAGTTCTCGCCGCTGGAGGCGCAGGCGCTGGCGGCCCACGCCGGCATCGGCAGGCCCGTCGTGTCGACCACCGGGATCTCGGGAGACGACGACCACGCCGACGCCGGCGGGGCTGACGACGACGAAGACGTCGACGCTGGGCACGACGACGGCGAGGACGACGCTGCCGCCCGCGGCGGCGTCGACGTTGGCGACACCCGCGCCGACGGCGCTGAGGTTGAGAAACGTCGAGGATGACCACCACCACGACGACGACGACGACGACGACGACGACGACGACGACGACGACGACGACGAGCACCACCACGATCACGACCGCAACCACGAAAACCACGGCGACGGCGACGGCGACGGCGACGACATCGATCACGACCACGACCACGACCACGACCACGACCACGACCACGACCACGAGCACGACGACGACGACGACGACGACGACGACGACGACGACGACGGCGGCGACGACGACGACGACGTCGACGGCGGCGGCGACGACGACGACGACGGCGGCAACGACGACGACGGCGGCGGCGACGACGACGACGACGGCGGCGGCGACGACGACGACGACGAGGACGACTGCGGGGGCCTTCCCGGGCGTGCGGGGGCCGACCTCCTTGCAGCTCCAGGGCTCCGAGTCGGCGTCCTCGAAGTCCACGCCAGGCGTGCAGGACGGCTTGCACCAGCCGAGCGACTCGTGCTTGGCGTAGCACTGCATGCCCCCGTCGCTGCAGCACCTCGCGCGAGGGGGGCTCGGCACGACCGGGGGCCCCTCGGCCATCCGCCCGCCCAGCGCGACTTCGCGGCCCTGGTGCGCTCGCGCCCCAAGGCCCCGAGGGGCCTTGCCGTTCGTTCCCCCTCTGCGCTCCTGTCCTCGTCGTCGTCGTCCTCCGAATCTGGAGGGGGAGGCTCTCTGCTTTACAAGGTGTCGCGCTGCAGGGCATGCGCTGAGCTGCCCAAACCCTCGTCGACGTTGAGGTCGCCTGTCGTCGACGCCTTCCAGCAGCAAAAACATGCCAGTACTAGATCGGGTCTGGGCATACTCAGCCCTCCAAAGACCTATCCTAGATGCATCGATTACTGCCAGCTCTTTTTCCGCTAGCCCTTCCACGCCCTCGGTCTTGGAGCGCGGAAGAGGGTCCCATTCGCCCTGAAAACCCACTCTGCCATGCTCAGAGACGGACCCCATTGGGAGGAGGGCGCGGACGAGGAGAACGAGGAAGAGACGGAGGAGGGGTTCCGATCCAAGGGAGGAGGATGAGGAGGATGAGGAGGAGGAGGAGGAGGAGGGAGACGAGGACGAGGACAGCGAGGACGAAAGACGTGACACAGAGGAGGGCGGCACCTCGTCTCGAGGCAGTTGGCGCCCTCCGGGGAGCAGCTCTCCTCGCGCCACGGGGGGGCCGTCGTCGTCGCCGTCGCCGCCGCCGTCGATGCCGACTTGGAGGGTCCGGGGGCTTTGATGGAAGTTCTCGTCGCCACGTCTGGACGCGACTCGGGGGCGTTCAAGGGGGAGGCGTCCAATAGGGGGGCGCAGGTCATGGCCCGAGGCACCGTTGCGGAAGACGGGGGACTGGGGAGCGTATTGAAATCAGAGGACGGGTGCATGCGGTCCAGGGAGATTTCATGGCCGTGGCCATGGCCATGATATCCCCCCCCCTGGTCCTCAACCTCACGACTAAGCCAAGACGAGAATAGATTCGGGGGTGGATGAATCGAGAATCTCTGAGGTCCCTGGAGGATGTCTCGGGCGCCGATCCTCCTCCTAGCCCCGTCCCCGAGCAGCCAGTGGCCAAGAGGATGACTCCAGGATGACCCTGGGAGGGGCCCTGCAACAGTCTCGGAGGTCCCAAGACCGTGTGGTGACGGACCGCGCGCGGTGACCTCGAAATCCCAAGAGACCTCACCGCGCGGTGCGTCACTGCACGGTCTTGGGACCTCGGAGGCCCCGGTCGCCCGAGACGACCCCGGGGAACGACCCGAGGCCCAGAGCCGTGCGGTGACCCCGAAGCCCCACCGACTCGCCGTGCGGTGTGGTCACCACTCCGTCTGCACGCCCCCGAGCAGCCACTGGCCAGGATGGCGGGCCCCAGGGGGCGGGCCTCTGGCGGCGGGTGGCCGGGGGGGGGGGCGAGGGGGAAGCGGCCGGCAGCCCTCTGAGAGCCCGTGCCCCCTCTACACCGCGGCGCCCTCACGGCGTGGGCCTCCAGAGGTCTGGGCGCCCCCCTCCCCAGCCCTCCTCCTCCTCGACCCTCCTCCGTGTCCTCCGCCCGCCCTCCTCGCCGAGGGACTCCCGCGGGGAACCTTCTTGGCACGCTTGGGGGGGAGAGGGGAGGAGGGCTGAGGATGAGGAGGAGGGCTGAGGAAGAGGAAGACGAGGGTTGAGGCCGAGAAAGAGGGGCTTGTGAATGTTTGTGTGTGTGTGTTGTGTCTGTGTGTCTGCGTGTCTGTGTGTCTATGCGTGCCTGTGTGTCTGTGTGTCTGTGTGTCTGTGCCTGTGCGTGTGTGTGAGAGTGTGTGTGTTATGTGTGTGCTAGTTAATGTGTTTGTTGTGTGTATGTGTTTGTGTGTGCTTGTGTTTGTATGTGTGGTTGTGGTTGTGTTTGTGTGTGAGGAATGTGTGTGAGAGAGAGAGAACAGTGATGTGCAGTTGTGTTTGCGCTTGTGTTTGTGATTGTGCTTGTGTTTGCGTGTGTGTCTGTGTTTGTGGTTGCGTTTGTGTTTGTGTTTGTGTTTGTGTTTGCGCCTGTGCTTGTGTTTGTGCTTGTGGTTGTACTTGTGTTTGTGCTTGTGCGTGTGCATGTGTGCGTGTGTGCGTGAGAGCGTGTAAGCGAATATGCGTGTGAGCGTGTGTGTGCGTGTGTGCGTGTGTGCGTGCGTGCGTGTGTTTGTGTGTGCGTGTGTGTGTGTGTGTGTGTGTGTGCGTGTGTCTGTGTGTGCGTTTCCTTTTTCGTGTGTTGTTTTTGTGTGTATGTGTGTATGCGTGCTGTGTGTAGAGTAGGGTTGGGGATGATGCCGATGTCTCGCCCGGTGCAGCACGTGGCCCGCCGCCTCTCGACCCACCTCCGGGGGACCGCCTCGCTTCTTCCGCGGAGCGTGTCTGGATGGCCTTAGAGAGGGCCCCGAAAAAAACAACTGGGCGCCGAACGAGGCGAAGCACACCCCGCCTTGATGAGAAGAACAAGAAACTGCAGAAGCATGATTTCTCGATGGTCCGCGCGGGTTTCGAGGATCAGCGTTGGATCCCTCTCCCTGGCGCGCGGAGCACGCCAGGGGCAGTGCCGGAGGCGCCGCCAGGGGGGCCCAGTGCCAATCCATGAAATCAGCGCGGATCTCCCAGAAATTACGCTCATGACGTGGCTTGTTCTTCAATTGGTATTGTCCTCCCTGGCGAGAAATCGCCAGCAAGTGCCCCCGACCTGGAGAAACAAACTTTGAAGGTCCGGGCACCCCGTAGGTTTAATGCCGTGGCGACTTGCGCGTCAGTCTCCGACGCCGCGTGAACCGTTCAACCTTAAAATGATCGCAGCTTTCCAACAGCGCGGACTGTTTGATGCCGGCCGATTCCAGTCCACTGGTGGGATTCAACATTGAGCGCCCGCGCCAGGGTGGCCGCCGCGTCGACTCGACGCGAACCTGCCGCATACCTTGGGACGCACAAGGAAAAACCAGTGCCACGTGTTTCGATGGGATATGCACGTCCCAACCTAAGATATAATAGCACCAGCATGGTATAGCATATCGTTACTCGAGCAGCATGGACGGAAGGCGCCCACCGCTGAGCTTATATGCAATCAGATTTCTGAGCGCGAGCGTCGCCCATGCGGGGCCTACGCACATGAAAACATACGGTCCGAGACTGTTGCTTAGCGTGTGGCAGCGGCGGCCCTGGAGACACGTTATGCCCTGCAAGCGGAGAACGTTTCGCTCCGCTCCGCAGGGAGGAAGGCTGGGCAAAGATCAGGACTGTGACGCCTGGGGACCTTGGAAGTGGTTAGCGTGTCGCATCGAAGCGCGGTGGGCCAGAACCAGCGGAGTGACACGCTACGGCAAAATTCCTGACCGTAGCATGTTCTGGCGATGCCGATGCCAGCCGGTGACTGCAGGCATCGCTTTCTTAACTCATTGCCGTCCAGGCCTGGGAAATCACAAGAGAACTACAGAAAAGCAGCGCAAGCAGGAGCAGGCTGCTGAAAAGAAGAAACAGAAGCAAGGGCCAGAGACGAAATGCAGATCTAAGAACATCTCCCACCAGTCCATCCTGGAATCCAGATTTTCTTTCATACCAAGACATCTCACATACTCTGATCTGGAAGCTGCATGTCTTCATACATCTTGTCGGTGTATGATATGTATAAAAGAAGAACAAGCACCATAACCATAAACGTTTAACGCTCCGCGCGGATTTCTTGGACCTGCGCCGTACCCCCCCTTCCCTGGCGCGCGAAGCGCGCCAGGTGCGGCGCCAGAGGCGCCGCCCAGGGGGTGCCAGCGCGGATCCAAGAAATCCGCGCGGAGCGCCAAACGTTAATGTTTATGGCTTTCTTTCTTCTTCGGTGCATCTTTTATTAGGTCGGGCATGTTCTCCTACAGGCGGATTTGGAACGGCAAACAAAACAATAGTCAAAACATAGTCAAAAAATGCGAGAAGAGTTAAATCATCGTCCCCAGACTATGTTTGACCAGTTTCGACTTTACTGTAGGTGTGTGAGATGTTTGGGGTGGTGACGATGCCTGCCCCTCCCCGCGCCCCGCCGATGGCCTTCACCCACTTGGGAGCAGGCGCCAGCTCCCAGTCGACCGGCCGCGCCTCCCAGGACGCAGGAACGGCCGGAGGGGGGCCGCCACTTCCTCCGGAAGGCGGATGCCCCCCCCCGCCCCAAACCCTCTCGCGCTGTGGAAAAATCACGGCGGGGGGTCTGTGGCTGTTTTCGGCCTCTGGGGGCCCTCGCTGGGCCTCGGGACCGTCAAGAAACGACTCGGGGTGAAACACCAGTCCAGGGGAAGGGGTCCAAACCTCTGGGGGTCGACGCTGTGAAAAAATCATGAGGTCGGCAATCTGGGCCCTCGGCCCCATCAGGACTTCCCCCCCAAAAGGATGAAGAAAATAACAGGACTTCCCCCCAGATCTTCCCCCCCAGGACTTCCCAACCCGGGACTTCCCCCCCAGGTCTTCCCCCCCACGGACTTCCCCCCCCCCCCCAACCCCCAACGGAAAAATTGCAGCCGAACATGTGATCAAGACGGTGATCGGTCAAGACATCTGGCCCAGCTTCCCGAGAAGAGAGCCTGTGGGCAGATGCCTCTTGGCGACGCTGGAGGCGCGCGAACGGACAGAAGGACGTCAGTCAGCTTGCCGGCAAGTTGGCCGAGACTCGCTGGCCCGGCTGTTCGGGAGGCGGCTTCTTCATCAGACGCTCGACTGCAGCGCGAATGTCCAGACCCCCTCCTTGGCCCGCCGTGCCCTTCCCCCGGCGCGAGGGCGCTGGGGCCCACAAACCCCAAACCCGGCCCGGGGGGTGCGTCTTGACCACAACCTCGGGGCGGCTCCGGCCGTGGCCACGGTACGGTACGACCCCCCCCCACGCCCCTCCTCCTCCCCCCCCTCCTCCTCCTCCTCCTCCTCCTCCTCCTCCTCCTCCTCCTCCTCCTCCTCCTCCTCCCTCCTCCTCCTCCTCCTCCTCCTCCTCCTCCTCCTCCTCCTCCTCCTCCTCCTCCTCCTCCTCCTCCTCCTCCTCCTCCTCCTCCTCCTCCTCCTCCTCCTCCTCCTCCTCCTCTCCTCCTCCTCCTCCTCCTCCCTCCTCCTCCTCCTCCTCCTCCTCCTCCTCCTCCTCCTCCTCCTCCTCCTCCTCCTCCGCTCCTCCTCCTCCTCCTCCTCCTCCTCCTCCTCCTCCTCCTCCTCCTCCTCTCCTCCTCCTCCTCCTCCTCCTCCTCCTCCTCCTCCTCCTCCCCCTCCTCCCCCCCCAAGACTCGAGGACCAAACGATGACACAAACGTAAACCTTCGGAGGCCCGCGCTGACTCCTTGGGATCGGCGGCAGCTCCCCCTCGCTGGCGCGAAGGGGCGCGCCAGGGGCGGGGCTGGAGGCGCCGCCGGGGGGGGCGCTGCTCCGAGAAATCCGCGCGGACCTGCGAAAGCTCGGGTTCGGGGCGGGTCGGGCCGCGGCGACGAGCGATGCCAGACATGGTCACGCCGGTGAGGAGACGACGGCAAGTCTTTGGCCGATGTTGGCCTGGCGCCCCCCCCCCTCCTGGGCCCTCGACTTCCGGCAGGAGCAGGAGAGGAGAAAACGGCAGGAAGATCGACGTTCGGCGCTCCGCGCGGACTTCTTGGATCTGCGTCGGACCCCCCTCCCTGGCGCGCGGAGCGCGCCAGGGGCGGCGCCGAAGTCGCCGCCAGGGGGGGGCACGGCGCGGATCCGAGAAGTCCGCGCGGAGCGCCAAGAGTTTTTTGCTTCTGCCGTGGCATCTGCTTCGCAGGTGGTGGCCGGGTGCCTCCCCCCGATGGGGGCGCCCGCGCTTGGCACCGCCCGAGGCCTCGCCCGCGGCGCGTGGCCCGAGCTGCTGGCACGTCCACGCCGAGTACTCCGCCTCCGCCATGTCGGGGCCGCCCGCGCAGTCCGCCTCGGGGGCTCGGCGGTGAAGCCCTCGAGCGAGCCCGAGGATCGAGGCCAGGATTCTTCTCGTCGAGCACCGAGGATCGAGGATCGATGCCCTCGAGGATCGATGCCCTCGAGGATCGATGCCCTCGAGGATCGATGCCCTCGAGGATCGCTGCCCTCGCGGATCGAGCCCTCGGGGATCCTTCCCTCGAGGATCGAGACCTGGATTCTTCTCGCCGAGCATCGAGGATCGAGGATCGATGCCCTCGACGCTCAAGCCCTGGAGGATCGATGCCGTCGAGGATCGAGAACTGATTTTCTGCATCGAGCATCGAGGATCGAGGATCGATCCCTCGAGGATCGAGCACCAGATTCTTTTCATCGAGCCCTTGGGGATCGATGCCCTCGAGGATCGATGCCCTCGAGGATCGAGCCCTCGAAGATCAATCCATCGGGCATCGAGCCCTCAAGGATCGAGACCCGGATTCTGTTCATCGAGCATCGAGGATCGAGGATCGATGCGCTCGAGGATCGAGAGCAGGATTCTTGTCGGCGAGCATCGAAAATCGAGGATCAATGCCATCAAGGATCGATGCCCTTCGAGAATCGAGCCCTCGGGGAGTGAGCCCTCGAGGATCGAGGGGGTCTCGATCGCTCGTCGCCCTTCCCCTAGGTTCAGGTCGGGCATGTCTTCCTACTGGCGGACTTGGGAAGACAAATCCAAAGTAGCCCCAACAAAACTCAAACATATCAATTGAAAAATCGTCCCCAGTCTAGTTTTTGACTATGTGGGAATATTCATCCTGTAGAGGGACATGCCCGACTAACCCTAATTAGGTGGTGACGTCTAAACCTCGCCCACACCACCCATCGATACCCCCGAATCGATGGGAGGCGGGGGTAGGGTTCGGACTTCGCCACGTGCTCGCCGAATACCAAGCCCTCATCCCCGCCGCCCATCGAGCTGCCCGAATCGTTGATCGGCGAGGGTGAGGTTCGGATTTCGCCGCCGAGGGATCAAGCCCTCAGAGATGGAGGTACGTAGTCTCGATCGCTCCTCGCCCCTTTTCTAGGCACCTGGGGGTCTGCCGGGGAATCCGAAATGATACGAACGTAAAATTTCAGAGGTCTGCACGGATTTCTCGGATCAACGCTGGAGCCCCCGGCGGCGCCTCCGGCGCCGCTCCTGGCGCGCTCCGAGAGCCAGGTTTTGCCCGACTTCCCGTCCTGCGGAGCGGAGCGACACGCTACTAGAGGCCTCCCACATGAGGTCGGAGTAGATGTGGTCGGAGGATCGCGCCGCATCCCCGATGCATCGGCGATGTATCGACGATGCATCCCCGATGCACTGGCGACGTCGATGATGCACCGGTGACGGCGTGGAGAAATTCGGGCTCCACATCGAGCCGCGTCGTCGATGCATCGGCGATGCGGCGAGGACCTCCGACGCCATCTGCTCGGTCCCCCCCTGGACGGCCTAGGAAAGGCCCAGCGTGTCGCCGGGGCCGCCGTAGCGACACGCTGTCCAGAAGTTCCCGGCAATATGCAAAGAAGCCATGAGCATAAACTTTTGGCGCTCCGCGCGGTTTTCTTAGATCTGCGCTGGACAGTTGGACCCCCCCGCCTGGCGCGCGGAGCGCGCCAGGGGCCTCGCCGGAGGCGCCGCCAGGGGGTCCGCGCGGAGCGCCAAAAGTTTATGTGTATGGCGTTTTTTCTTCTTCGAGACAACCTCTGGAAATCTCGACCCATTCCCCTGGACCGGCTCTTCATCCTGTGTCCTTTCTTGACGGTCCCGAGGGCCGATAAGGGCCCCCAGAGGCCGAAAATAGCAAAAAGCCTCCTGTCAGTATTCTTTCATTGCCCGAGGGGATCTGGGAACGCAGACTCCCTCCGCCCACGCGCCCGCCTTGCAGAACGCCGCGGTCGCGTTCTTCTCGAAGCACGCGGTGCCCGCCGACAGGCAGCACTGCGCGCCCCTGCAGTCTTCGCCCAGGGCCGCGCAGGCCGCCGTAGTGGTGCTGGTGTTCGGGGCGGCGGTGGTCGGGGCGACCGTGGTCGTGACGCGGAAGAAGAGAACACCGCGTAGAACCCAGACAGGGTCGCGTCGTTACAAAAATCAGGACGGCAAGTTTTCGCTATTGTCAGCCCCTGGGGGCCCTCGCCGGTCCCCGGGACCGTAAAAAAACGACTCAGGATGAAAAGCCGGTCCTGGGGAAAGGGTCTGGACTTCTGGGGGCGCCGTCCTGAAAAAATCAGGACGTCGCATGTCTGGGTCGTGAAACATTTTACGAGGTTGTTGGGCGTTTTCATTTGTTCTCAGCGTTTTTCCAACCTCGGGGTACTCTCCAGCAGCTTTGCCTCGCCGACGGAGTCTTAGACGTTCGTTAGAAAAGCAGGTTTCCCCACCTCTCGCAACCTCCCCTCTGCTCGTCGCCCTCCTCTCTCCGTACTCTCTGCTCAAGGCCTCTAGCGAGGCAAGTACTCCTTTTGGGGTGGGCAGGCGGGGCCATAGCTCGCTGGCCCAGCCTGCGGCGCAGCCATGCAGTCTGAGGAGTGCTGGGAAGTGGCTGGGCCAGGTCCCCCCTCCAGTGTGGGCGGGGGCTCTGGAGCGGAGCCCCGCGGCCCGCGGCGGACGCCTCGGCAGGGCGCCCGCGGCCTGAAGGAGGAAGAGGCAGAGAGGGGGTGCCAGCAATGCGGCACGTTTCCCTCGAGTGCATCATCTCCGCCGCGCTGGTGGCCACGCTCGGGTGGCTCGACGCTTCCCTGGGCGTGGGGCTGTCGGCTGCCTTCTCGGCTTCCGCAAGCTACGCGCTGGGGCCGAGCGAGGGCCACGCGCGGGAGGAGAGGCGCCGCGAGCGACGCTGGCTCGGAGGAGGCGCGCGAGAGTCGCACCGAGTTCGAGGCGCACTTCTGCTGCGGTGCGAGCTGCGCAGAGAGTGCTGCGGAAGGCCAGCCAGCCGACCCCGTGCTGCCCGCAGGGACGGAGCGGCATGAGGAGGCGGCGGCGCCGCGGCTTGAGGCACCCCCGACCACGAGCCCGCCGCCAGCCGTGGCTGGTTCGGGTGGGCGCGCCACCAGCTACGGGGAGCACCACTACCCCGCGTACTACTACGAGGACGGGGCGGCGCCGAGCCCGCCCCTGGCCGAGCGGCCCGCGGCGCCAGCAGTGCACGGATCGCTGCCAGAGGAGAGGGCGACGCCGAGGGAGTCGGGGCGACCTCAGACGGGCGAGCAGCAGCCGCCCGCACCACGGCGGCGCCCGACCGCGGCTGTGCTACGGTCGGCTGGCAACGCCGCCCGTGCACAGCACGCGTCGGCGCCGCCGCCGCCGCCGCCGCCAGAGGAGCCGCCAGCCAGAGGAGGCGAGGGCGCGGCCGCTGAGGATGCGCCCCCACCCCCAGACCGCCCCTCCGACGCCATCCCAGAAGTGGTGAACGCCGAGCCAGGCGGGCTCGCCTTCGCCAACGCATGGTTCGAGGCAGCGCTCAAGTGGGTGGGCGACAAGGTCGGCCACGCGCTGGGCGCTATGTTCCACCAAGTGATCGCTTTCCTCATGAGCATGGTGAACGCTATGGGAGAATACATTTGCGGCCGCTATTGGGCGCGGCTCCAATGGTTCGCCCTGAGCGTGGCTGCAGCGGGAGTGATCGCCCATCGACCTCCTCGGCTCCATGATCAGCCTCGTCCCTTGGGTCTTGCGCACGGCTTGGACGCACTGCGCGTTCGTCTTCACGACTACGTACGGCGACGTCGAAGGCAGCAATACGAGCCACGACGTGCAGGTCGCCTTGGACAGCAAGCCAGGTGCTGCCCTGACCTGGCGCGGTCAGGACGAGGCCGAAGCCGTCGACGCAGACTACGTCGAGGACGAGGTGAGGGCGCGAGGAGGCAGCTCGGAAAACATGATGCCCAACGACCTCATCATCAAACTGGGCGCGGCGGTTGTACGGCTGGAGCAGGGGCCCAACATGGGCAGCCGCATCACCCGCCATGGGTACGTCCACCGCTTCAAGGAGGTCAAGGGCAGCTCGCACCGGCACCTCGAGACCGACCTGGAGGCCACACGAGATGACGACGGGATCGGCCTGGTGCACTTGTGCTCTGCGACGCCATGCACATTGCCTCTAGGTGACAAGCCCATGGTCCACGTGGGCGCGTCGTGCGTCGTCGGCCACACCTCCACGGTCAACGCGTCGGACCTGGCCAAACTCGCGCCTGCAGGACGAGCCAGGACGGGGAGCAGAGCATGATGCTCCTGGGCGTGCCGGGGACTGTCGGGGCTAGCTAGAAAGGCGCGCGGGTGGTGTGCGTCCAGGAGGTGGAGGCGCCCACGCCTGGGCAGCGGCTCGGCCAAGGCGGTAGTGATGGACCCCAACTCGGAGACCGAGTCGGAGCCGAGCGCGGACGTGTGCGAGGCGGACAGGATCGCATTCCAGACTGCCGGATGCGCGCAGGTGCTGCGTGCCAAGGGTTGTCGGGACTCGGCGAGGAAGGATCCCGTGCTGATGCTGGTCGAGGACACTGCCATCTCCGACGTGCGTGAGTCCCTGGAGGTGAATGGCACTCGCTCATCACGGGCTTGCCCGTTCCACACCCAGTCCTACGAGGCCCGAGCAGCTCAGAGGGAGTGTGCCCGTTCCAACTGCTTCCGCGAGAAGACCACCGAGAAGGACGGCTTCCCCCTCTGCGCCGCGCACGCCGCGGATCGGGTAGCGGGCTGGCGCAGCCGGTCGACCACGCCGCAGCCGCATGAGGACTGCAAGCGGCAGGAGAGGAGGCACGGAACCTGAGCGGCCGCCATCGGCTACGCACAGGAGCAGTCCAGGGGCCAAGGTCGCCGCGGACGCGGCGTGGCTGGTGCGCGCGCGGGGCCCCTTGGCCGATTCGGCCGCGGGCTGGCGAGCTTACTACAGCTTCCCTGCCAAGTTCGCGGGCCCCTCCCGAGGCACGGACGATGGCGACCCCGGGACAAACGTGGAGGCGGTCGGGCTGAATGTCACCTTCTCCAGTCCAGACGGCGCTCCACCACCGCCAAGGTCGGAGCTGCTCGACGAGTTCATCAGCGCGTGGCCCCCAGCCATCTGCTGGGAGTCGGGGGTGACCTCGCGCTCGTCTGACTACGGCGACGGCACGAACTGCGAGGGCGACAGTCTCAGCCGCGCGTCTGCGGCCGTGATCGCACACGACAGGGGCCGGCACCACCTGGCGATGCAAGCGAGATCCAGGAGCAGGAGCGCCACGCCGACCAGGAAGATCGTAAAGGGCGACCTCGACGAGAGGCTGAGGCGGGCCAAGGAGAGGGACGAGGCGCAGCGCCGCACAGACCCGAGGGCCGCGCTCATCGAGGGGCACTTGCTCAGGAGGGCCGAGGGCCAGTCGGATGAGAGCGCGAGGCGTGCCATGGCGGCCGACGCAGGCGCGGGCCCCCTCGAGCTCTTGGCGGAGCTCCTCGAGGCCGCGGACGCACCGCGCGGGGGAGTGGTCAGCGATATCGGGCTGAGCCTTCTCCGAGATGCCAGGCAGCCCAGCGCAAGGAGCTCGAGCGAGGAGGGGGGCCGCGCCCAGCCCAGGAGGCGCCCAGGGAGCAGCGCGAGACAGCACCGGCCCCCCTTTCGCCCGGGGCCCGCAGCTGCCCCCCCGCCAGCAGCGGCGCCTCCGCCCCCGGCGTCGCCCCGGCTTCGTCGGGTCCGGCCAGAGGCCCGCCGCGTTCATCCCGGGGGGCGGGCGGCGCATGCGGGAACGTCGGCGCCCAGGGGGCACGAGGGCGCGAGATCATTCGTCGACGTAGCGGCGAGGCCTCGCGAGTGGCGCGCAAGGGCGTCATCCACGCCCATGGAGGGAGAGGGCGCTCGCGGGGCCGCAGCCCACCGCCGAGATCGGCCTGGGCCTGGAGAGGTGGGTGCGAGAGCTAGGGCGGGCCAACAGGCACTCAGAGGAATCAGGAGGCGCGGCCAAGGGCATGCTGGCGAGCACCGGCCGGGCTGAGGAACAGCTCGTCTACCTGACGCGCGGCTGCGACAGTTTCCACGCGATGCTCTGCCCAGGCTTGCTGGGCAAGGACGCGTTACGCGGGTTGAGGTCAGCCGGTCAGAACACGCGCCCGCTATTCCGATCCATCAAGTCCCCGGTGAACATCACCAACGCCATAGCGCACGGGCTCGCGGCCTTCCAGCACGAAGAGCGCGATCACGTGCATCTCCCCGACTACTGCCTCAGCTGCGCCAACTTCCCTAAGACGTCGGAGGCGGACGCGGGCCACTTCGTGCCGCCCAAGGACTACAAGCTGGAGACCAAGCCGAGGCACGCCACGACGGTGCAGCAGTGGATCCAGGACGCTAAGAGGGAGTCGCGGGCTTGGGCGTGCTTCTGTGGCCAGGAGCACTCCAAGTCACAGGTGGATGCCGCTGAAGCCCTCATGAAGCTCAATGACGGGCCCGACTACGCGTGGCCGCCCCAGGTGATCTTCAGCGCCTGGCGCGAGCTCTGTGGCAGGTGGTGCGAGGAGCTCAGGATGCTACACTCGGGTTTGCTGGGGCTGCTGGCTGACGACAACCAGAGTTGGGACAGGATCAAGTTCGCGTGCCAAGCGCCGAGGAGCCCAAGAGATCCCTCGGCGTGGCTCCGGGTGCCGCGCCTCAGGACCCGCGCGGCGAGGTCGCCCGGATGCGCGCGGGCGTCCTGGAGGGGGGGCCAGGCGGGCCAGCACGAGACGGACGGGCGGCCGGGCAGGGATGCTCCCACACGACAGCGGGGACAGCTGGTGCGCGCGTAGCCTCCGCCCAGGAGGCCACCGGGACGGGCGCTGCTCCACGCGCGGCCGGGGCCTCGCCCAGAGGCCCTTGGTGAGGCAAGGGGGCGAAGAGGCGCGAGGCGCCTCGCCACCCATGCGCAGGGCGCCCTCCGGAGCCCACGGGGGAGAAGTGCACCGCCCCTCCTCGCGCACCGACGGCGCCCCCGGTCAAGGAGCCGGCCTGGTGCCTCCACAGGGCGTTCGAGGTCTGCGCGCCAGCTCTGCCAGAGTGGCGGCGTCATCTATGGCGGGAAAGAGATCCAACCCATCG